GTCGGCCGTGGCCATCCTTGTCATCGTGACGGTCCTAATATCGGGGCCCAAATAATTACCTATACTCTTTTTGGGGGTTCCTTAGTATAACTATACTATAACATACATCAAAACTCTAGTCTAATTATTAAGGCCCCTACATTAGTGGTCTTGGCACTCTGGGCCGTCGTGGTTGGGTATGCACACGGCAATGGCAGGCATCCTGCCGAAAGGGTCCTAGGTACCGTTATGGGGGATACCTTCCCAGATCATAAATGGTAATTCCTAATATAGAAACCCTACGTTGTACTGCATAGGTACTTTGGGCCCTTTGGGTTAGTTAGTCGTGATCACAGCACAGAACCCACCGATGCAGGAAGCCGAGTGGGGCTTCATCGGCGACGCTGTAGGGGCCGGCCGTTTTCCCTCAATCCTAACGCCCTAAACTTCTAAGCTCCATAAATCCCCGAAGCTCCATAAATCCCTAAACCCTAAATCCCTGAACCCCTAAACCGTTAATTTGACCCCATACACCCTAAACAGGCTGTTGGAGACGTTGTTACTAGTGGCGCGGGCCTCGTTGGGGATGCCTTGGGCGATGCCTATGACCAAGCCACGGACAAGATCGCCTTTGTTGCCAATACGGCCATCGACACCGTGGGCAAGGCCGCCTGTTCTTACCTAAACTGGAAAAAAAGGGGCCTAAATATAGTTAGCAATACTATTTTTGTGGGGGTTCCTGATTGTGATTATAGCTCAATGGACCCCACACCCTATTCTAATTTTAACGCCTTATTATCATTATCGTACAATGGACCCCCCCCCCAAAAAAAAAAACCCTATTCTAATTTTAAAGCCTGATTATGATTATCGTACACTGGACCCCCAAACCCTATTCTACCTTATTATGATTATAGCAGAATGGACCCCCCAAACCCTATTTTAACTATAAAGGGACCCTGCACAGCCCCTTCGTGTTCAAGCGGTGGTTCAAGAGACCGATACGGGAGTTTCCGAAAATTTGGGTACCTTATTTTGGGGTCTTTATAATAAGGATCCTACTAGTTGGTGTACTATATTAGGGTCCCCTTCTTCGAAAACCCCCATACCCTTGAATCAAGGAGAAGGCCTTCTATCATACTTGTGGCCTTTGAAGTCTTTGTTCCGACCTCACTACAAGGGTCGCTGTTGGTAAGCCCTTAACGCCGGACCCTAAATGCCAAACCCTCAACCCTAAACTCCGAAAATCGAAACCCT